GTATTGATAGCTCTCTTGACTTCAAACACTCTACTGATATTAGACTTGTTTCCATACACCTTTTGAAGTGTATCCCACAACTCCTTGGAGCTTTCACAGTAGGAGTAACCCTCCTGGAGTGTTGAATCAAGACTGTGTTGAAGGATAGACAACACCAACTGGTCCTCCTGACCTTTCTTCTTGGCGCCAGTATCAGCTAGGACAATTTCACTTCCATTCTCTCCTAAGATGGTTTTCTTCTGTGGCCTCCCTTCTTCAACAATCTCCCAAAGACCTCTGCCTCCAAGAGCTGTTTTAGCAAGCATAGCCCAATGTAAGTAATTTGCTCCCTTAAGGGTAACAGGTATTACCACCATTCTTGTGTTTGAGTTTTCTGTTAAATCCATTAGTGTGAACAACTCAAGATCTGAAATATTGTAGAAGAATTAAGAACAGAGATTTTGCGGAAGTGTAAAAAGATTTAGGCCTCAAGAGCATTAAGCTCTGATAACATGTTGATTTGTGAGAATTAAAGAGAGATTAAGGAGATTATTCTTGAGAAAAAGAGAGAGAGATAAACGAGATTTAGAAAAGAGAGAGTGAGGAAGATATTTTCCTTAAATTACAACTCATTGTGCATTACAGCAAATAAATAGGCAAGTATGCCTGAGATAAAAATAATTAAACTAATACAAGTTGGTACACAACGATCAAATGCACGTGGGAAGAGCAGAAGTAGAGAATTTGAATTTGCCCATATGGTCACTTTCCATCATGGTCATCGTATTTGGAGTTGACCATATGGTCAACCTTGTACCATCGCTCTCCTTCTGTCATGCTCACACTTTGCACCAATGGTTATTGTATTTGAAGTGGACCATATGGTCAGGCCCTTTATGGTCACGCTTGTACCAACCATCTTATTTATGGTTGACCATTGGTCAAGCTCTTCATGGTCACGCTCGCAACAATCTATGGTCACGCTTGTACCAACCATCTTATTTATGGTTGACCAGTGGTCAAGCTCTTCATAGTCACGCTCGCACCAATGGTCATCTTATTTTATCTTAGTAATTCCTTCATGTCAATATGCTGGATCATCGGATCTGCATTTTTAAATGAGCCATATCAGAGTGTCTTTGGAATTTATATGAATTAAATTTATTGTTATTACAGAGCACAAAAGAAGTCAGGCTCGCCAATGAGATTGGGTACCCCTGTAACGATCAAGGTAAATTATTTTGTTTGTATGGTAACTCAAAGCAGCAAAACAGGTGTTTTTACACTACTGATACTGTTACAGTGATGCCACGAATTTGATTGCGTCTCAAGTATCAAAACTCAAGTAAAGCTTCTTTTCTTTTCTGAATCTTGGAAGCTGAAATCTTGCCAAACTAACTTTGTGTTTACTTTTACTTGACTCATAAGATTTACTCAGATTTTTTCTCGATCATCAACAACAATCTCTCTATTAAACTCAGTTGCATTCCAAATCTTACAAACAGTTCAATAAAGTCAAGAACTCATGATGCATTCCTTTGTAATAGCTCTGTATTTCTTTTTAAAGTATGAAACCATTTTTGATTAGTTAGTGTTTTCTATTGAAACTGTTTGGCTTTTTTTGTTAGGTTTGCAGAAGAACTCTCCATGGCTATCAATGCTGCAGTTTGGTGACTGGAACCAGAGAGGTGGAGTAACTATTCCTGATTATTCTATGGATTTCACAAAGATTATAAAGATGTGGAAACAGAACAAAAGAGACCCTTCTCGAGCCAGTCTTGGCAACGAAGATGAGCTCACTAAGCCACCCGAATCAGCTTCAGCAACTGCTAAGCTCACCACGGTTCATAGTGAAGACCAACATCAGTTCTCTCCAGCTCATCATCACCAACCACATTCCCCTTTAGTAAGATTCCAAACCACTTTTGTCCTGCCAAACATAAATATATGCATTTGTGGTCACATCATCATATAAATCCTAATATAGATGTGCAAGTCCGAAAACAAACTAATTGCTCAGTTGTCAAAAACCTAGGTCATTGCTAATCGTATCGTTGCAGTAAATTTCCTTCATGTTTTTATATGAGTCAACTTTTCCTATGCCCTTATTTTTTTTAGAGCCAATCTTATATGGGCTCACTTATCTCCTATACCTCTATTTCATTATTCTTTTTTTATCAAAACCCAAATTCTCAAATTAAATCCTCTCTGTTGTTCAAAACTAAACCCTAACCCTCTATGGATTAGTGAACACTTGGGTAAATATTTAAGTTCTATACCTTTCAAATTCGGAAATAATATATTTTAAAATCGTTTTAATCATATTTTGATGATTTTTGTGAAAATATAAAAAAATAGTTTTTCGATTTTTGAAATATTTTTACCAAATTCTATAAATCAAATAAAAAATATTCACGTTTCTCTTGTAATTTTATGATTTTACGTTTGACATATAAAATTAAAAGAAGAAACATGTGTTAAAAAGATTAAAGAATGAGATATAAGAGCATAAGAAAAATTGATTCTTTTTATATGCATATTTTATTGAGACTACATATTTTAGGTTTCTTCACCTTGCTTACACTAATATTTCAATATTAATGTATATTTAGGTTTATGAAGAATATGATTTCTATTACAACATTTAGTTTACACCAAAATAAAAAAATAGCTTAGAGAAATAACTTAATAATTAATAAATAAATAACATTTTGTCAGTAGAGAAGCAGTTCCAGCATCAGCTTTGTAAAATAAATTATTTCAATAATTTTCTATCATTTTAAACAAGAAATAAAGTCCAAAATAGCACTAATTCGAGTTTTTGTCCCCAAACTAGTATTCAAGGTCAAAAGTCACAAAAATAAGTTTCATTAAATGGATGATTTACCCTTGTGCCCCTTCTTTAACTAATTTAAAAATAATATATTAATAGATGATTTATCTTTATGCCACTTATTTGACTAATTTACTCTAAAACCCTATATCATGAAACTTTACTCTAAATCTTATACCCTAAAACTTCCACTCTAAACCCTGAAACATCAGTTCTAGAACCCTAAATATTAAAATTTCAAATTAAAGTCATAAACCTTATAACATCAATTCTAAACTCTAATCAATGAAACTTCAACTCTAAACTCTAACACTGAAACTTCAACTCTAATCCCTAAACACTGAAATATCAACCTAAAACCCTAAACCCTAAAACTTCAACTCTAAACCCTAAACCCTGAAACATCAACTCTAAAACCCTAAAACCTGAAACTTCAACACTAAACTCTGAAACATCAACTCTAAAACCTTAAACCCTAAAACTTCAAATCTAGACCCTAAATCCTGAAATATCAACGCCAAAACTCTAAACTCTGATGTTTTACCTCTAAACCTCTGAAACATAACCTCTAAAAAACCCTAACCCTGAAACTTCAACTCTAATCCCTAAACCCTAAAATATCAACTCTAAAACTCTAAACCCTGAAACTTCAACGCTAGACCCTAAACCCTGAAACATCAACTCTAAAATCTTAAACCCTGAAACTTCAAATCGAAACCCTAAATCCTGAAACATCAACTCTAAAACCTTAAACCCTTATGTTTTACCTTTAGACACCTGAAACATTAATTCTAAAACCCTAAACCCTAAAACTTTAACTCTAAACCCTGAAACATCAACTCTAAAACTTTAAACCCTGAAACTTCACCTCTAAAACCCTGAAACATCAACTCTAAAACTATAAACCATGAAACTTCAACTATAAAACCCTAAACCCTGAAACTTCAACTCTAAAACCCTAAACCCTGAAAATTCAACTCTAAACCCTAAACCCTGAAACTTCAACTCTAAACCCTGAAACTTCAACTCTACACCATAAACCTTGAAAATCCAACTCTAAAACCCTAAGCCTTGAAACTTCATCTTAAACCATGAAACATCAGTTCTAGAACCCTTTTGAAACTTCAACTTTAAACCCTAAACCCTAAACCCTGAAAAATCAATTCTAAACCCTGAAACTTCAACTCTAAACCCTAACCACTGAAGCATCAACTCTAAAACCCTACACCCTGAAACTTCAACTTTGAACCTTAAACACTGAAACTTCCACTTTAACCCCTGAAACATCAAGAACCCTAAATCTTCAAACTTCAACTTTAAACCCTAAACCCTGAAACTTCAACTCTAAACCATGAAACATCAATTCTAAAACCCTAAACCTTGAAACTTCAACTTTAAATTCTAAACCCTGAAACTTCAACTATAAACCATCCTGAAACATATAATTTAAACCATGAATCTAAACCCTAAACCCTCAACTTTAACCCTTAATCCCTCAACCTTATATCTTTCCAAAATCCGAATCCTAAACCCCAAAACCCTTAATATATTAAAATCTGGATGATATATTAATGTTCATGATAGGCTTCACGGTAATGTATTATAATATTTGGAAAGCCTTGAGCGTGTTCATGATAGTCTTCTAGATAATATATTAATCTTCAGATGTAATATAAATTTTGGAAGGTATTGAGCGTGTTCAGGATGGGATTCCAGATAGTATATTAATCTTCAGGATAATGTATTATAAAATCTGGAAAGCCTTGAGCGTGTTCATGATGGGTTTCCAGAAAATATATTAATCGTCAGGATAATGTATTATAAAATTTGGAAAGCCTTGAGCGTGTTCAGGATGGACTTCTCGATAATATATTAATTTTGAGAATAATGTATTATAAATTTTGGAAAGCCTTGAGCATGTTCGGGATGGGCTTCCGAATAATATATTAATCTTCAAGATAATGTATTATAAATTCTGGAAAACCTTGAGTGTGTTCTAGATGGGCTTCCTGATAATATATTAATCTTTATGATATGATTTAAGGTTTAAGGTTTAGATTTTAGGTTTAGAGTTGATATTTTAGGGTTTATGGGTTTAGAGTTTAGTATATTAATCTTCAGGATAATGTATTCTAAAATTTAGAAAGCCTTGAGCGTGTTCAGGATGGGTTTCCGTATTGAAGATAATGTATTATAAAATTTGGAAAGCCATAAGCGTGTTCAGGATGGGCTTCAAGATAATATATTAATCTTCAGGATAATGTATTATAAAATTTGGGAAATCCTTGAGCGTTTTCAGGATGAGACTCCAGATAATATATTAATCTTTAGGATAATGTATTATAAAATTTGGAAAGCTTTGAGCGTGTTCAAGATGGGCTTCCATATAATATATTAATCTTTAGGATAATGAATTATAAAATTTGGAAAGCCTTGAGCGTGTTCAGGATGGACTTCCTAATAATATATTAATTAGGTGATTTTCCCGTGCTCATGCACGGACATAAATATTTAAAATAAATATATTATAATAATTGATTGATATTTACTTCAAATTTAAAATTAATTTATAATTTGTAGATATAATTTATATTAATAATATTATATTAATTTAATTATTATAATTTTAGATATGTTATATTTCGTCAATTTTATTGTTTTTACTGTTGATTTAGTTATCATTGAGATATATTAGATTCTACCTATTTCTCTGAATTCAACTATAATCTTTTTTTATTCTAAATATATTAAATTTTTGATTAATTGTCTTATTTGCATTTATGCCGGTTGTTATCTTAGAAATATAAGTATATCCTGATTCTAAAATACATACTTAAGTAACTAATAAATTTTTGCAAGCTAATGAACACATATCAATATTTACAATATTTAGACTGATTAGATGATAAACTGAAATTTATTTTAAATNCTATTAAAATATAATGTATCTACTTCGATAAATTATATAATGTTATGATATTTTAAGATAATTGTAGTTATTTGATCAAAAAATATTTATTATTAAAATTCATTTTTAGTTTTGTTTTTAATATCTTTTAAAATATGCAGTAAAAATGGTATTGTTTTTGAGAAATTATATTATATAAGTAAATAGAATTTATATTTTTTTCTGTAACTGTAAGATATTATAATCAAAAATATACTAAAATAAAAATATATATATTTCAAGAATACTAATTATATTTTTTTTTCAATTAAACATATATCATTTTATGTTACTTAATTATTTTATGTAATCATCTAATAAAATAGATATATACAAAAACAAATACTTTGAAAATCTATATATTTATTGTTTAAAACTATTATTTTTTTAAAAAAAAAATATCTCTTTTTCTAATATAAAGATTAGTTGTGTGAAATTTTTTTATGGAATCACATTATATACAAATATTGTTTTTCATCTAAGAAGATATAGTTATAAAGTATTTTATTACTTCAAACTTATATTTTATGTTATTTAAAATATATTTAAATAAAATATTACTATTTTGTGAACTTTCCATTTTTATGAAACCATATTTATATATACTTATATTTTTCGTTTTTAAAGAGTTTTGTAAACTTTATACATATTTCCTTTTTATTTTATATTGTTATTTGGAAAAAAAGGAAATAATAATATTTAAATTTATTTTTTTAATTCATTAAGGGTATCATAGTAATCAACCAGCGTGAGAGTTAACGTGAGCGCGACACATAAGAAAGTGACTTCTCAAATAATATTATAGAGATTTTGCAGATAATGTATTATAAAATTTGGAAAGCCTTGAATTCAGGATGGGCTTTTTGATAATATATTAATCTTCAAGATAATGTATTATAAATCTTGGAAAGCCTTGAGCGTGTTCAGGACGGGCTTCCTAATAATATATTAATCTTTAGGATATGATTTAAGGTTTAAGGTTTAGAGTTTAGGGTTTCGAGTTGATATTTTAGGTTTAGAGTTTAGTATATTAATCTTCAGGATAATGTATTCTAAAATTTAGAAAGCCTTGAGCGTGTTCAGGATGGGCTTGCAGATAATATATTAATCTTCAAGATAATGTATTATAAAATTTGGAAAGCCTAAGCGTGTTTAGGATGGGATTCCAGATAATATATTAATCTTTAGGATATGATTTAAGGTTTAAGGTTTAGAATTGATGTTTTAGGGTTTAGAGTTTAGTATATTAATATTCAGGATAATGTATTCTAAAATTTAGAAAGCCTTGAGCGTGTTCATGATGAGTTTCCGGATTGAAGATAATGTATTATAAAATTTGGAAAGCCATATGTTCAGGATGGGCTTCCAGATAATATATTAATCTTCAGGATAGACTTTAAAGTTTAAGGTTTAGAGTTTAGGGTTTAGAGTTGATGTTTTAGGGTTTATGACTTCAAGTTCATGTTTTAGGGGTTTGGGTTTAGGGTTGATTTTTTTAGGGTTTGGGGTTTAGATCTAGAGTTTAGGGTTGAAGGTTTAGGTTTTACGATTTAAGGTAATTTTTTAGGGTTTAGGCTTTAAATTTTAAGGTTTAGGGTTTAGAGTTGATGTTTTAGGGTTTAGAGTTTAGTATATTAATCTTCAGGATAATGTATTCTAAAATTTGGAAAGTCTTGAGCGTATTTAGGATGAGTTTCCGGATTAAAGATAATGTATTATAAAATTTGGAAAGCCATGAAATAATATATTAATCTTCAGGAAATACTAAGTTTTAAGATTTAGAGTTTAAGGTTTAGGGTTTAGAGTTGATGTTTTAGGGTCTAGGGCTTAAAGTTCATGTTTTAGGGGTTTGGGTTTAGAGTTGATTTTTTTAAGGTTTAGGATTTGGGGTTTAGGTTAGAGTTTAGGGTTTAGGATTTAAGGTAATTTTTTAGGGTTTAGGGTTCAGAATTGTTGTTTAGTGTTTAGGTTTTAGGGTTTTGAGTTTACTTTTATCGTTTAGGGTTTAGTGTTGATAGTAAGGTTTAGAGTTGAGATTTTAGGGTTTAGGATTTAGAATTGAGGTTTAGGGTAAATTTTTTAGTGTTAAATATATAGAATTTATTTATAGGGTTTATGGTTCAGTGTTGATGTTTTAGGGTTTAGAATTGAGGTTTAGAGTTTAGGGTTGATTTTTTAGGGTTTAGGGTTTAGCCATTGGAGTTGTGCATGAAGATCTTTTGAAAGTTGTTGAGCCATTAACTTCTGACCCGCCTAACTTACCACGCCAAGCAGAGCCTAAGTCTCAGTATACTGGTGGAGATTTTCGCCAACATACTGGTGGAGAGGTATGCATGACAGATATGATGTCATTGGAAAAATGTATTTGAGCTAAAGTTGTTTTTAATTCACAATTCTAATTGAGATTTTTCTATCATCTCAGGCTACACACTTTGCGCTTTGCCTTTGAGGTTCCCGGCTGGAAGAGCGAGAAAGAAGCACTCATCGCTTCTGTTCTCCAGGTGTCTAAATTGAATGTTTAATATTTTCTTGTGCTAAAAAATTCATTTGTTTCAGTTAAATTGTATTTACTATGTAAGAGTCAATATAATCTAATTGCTATCAGATGCTTATGGGAGGAGGTGGCTCATTCTCAGCTGGAGGCCCTGGAAAAGGAATGCACTCATGGCTCTGTAAGTCAAAATTTTGTGTTTTTTTCTTGCGCTTATTGAATTATATCATGAAACATTCTCAAGCACTGCTTATGAATCAGCAATAGTGATACAAGTTTCTATGTCTGGTTACAGATCTCCGTATTCTGAACGAAGATCAGCAAGTTCAGTCATGCACCGCATTCACTAGCATATTTGACAACACCGGACTGTTTGGAATCTATGGTTGCTCGGTGAGTTCAGAAAGATCCTGATGCTGTTTAGTATTCTTTTCCTTTTATAAAATATACACTGTTTTTCCATATATGATAGATGTGTATTAAAGGAATGCCGGTTTGGAGTCTGTATTATTAAAAAGCTTCAGGAATATTGATTCTGTGAGTTTATTAAGCTTTGTCCAGTTTGTGTTAGCTGACAACGTCTTTGCTTGATGTATTCTGGTAAATATAATGATATGATTTACATCCCTGATTGCAGAGTCCTGAGTTTTCTGCAAAAGCAATTGAATTAACAGCTAAAGAACTGAAAGATGTAGCAGGAGGAAAAGGTTTGCAGTTTGTTTCAGCCTTTTTTTTAATTTTAAAGTCACGAAACAATTCATTGAATGTATAAAACTTTTTCATTCTGTTTATATGATGGACATTTAACCAGAATCATCTAGATCGTGCCAAGGCAGCCACGAAATCTGCAGTTCTGATGAATTTGGAATCTCAAGTATTCTCACTCTCTCACTAAAGATGAAACCGGTTTTCGCCTGGAAAATTATTTTCTTTTTAATTTGATTTCTAAATATTAGATGTTCAACTAACGAGTTAATGTTGTGTCATATGCAGATGATTGCAGCAGAAGACATAGGCAGGCAGATACTTACATACGGAGAGACGTACACTGAAAAGACTTTAAATTTTCACTTTAATCTCAATAGTTCCTTTTTACTTGCTCATGAATGTGTTTTTATATTAAAAATTATTGCAGGAAACCAGTTGAGAATTTCTTAAAAGCAGTAGACGAACTTACCTTGAAGGACATTACAGATTTCACCAGCAAAGATAATTTCAAAGCCTTTGATAATGGGTTCCTTTGGAGATGGTAATAAACATCTGTCTCTTTTCCTTAATACGTTTAACATAATACTTTATCCCACTTATAGAAGGTATAAAATAACTCCAGTGATATTGTGTCCTTAATATTTTTTCTGGTTCTTTTTCTGGCAATGTTGTTTGTTCCAAGCTACGACACCGTCAGCCAGTTTTGTTGAAGCAGCAAACATTTGCTAAAAAATCAAAAAAGGTTTTGGGATTTGTGAAATAAAGATATTTGGGAGGAGAAGAGGAAGATCCAAACAAATTTTAATTGTTTTTACTAAATGTAATTTTGTATTCCAAAAAATATATTTTTTACAACGTTTGCCCAACCACAGTGGTATCATTGGCTTTGTGGTGACATTTTTTATGCTGTTCCGAATTTCCAAATGAGTCTGAAAATTGGCCACTTTTATAAACATTTGTATACCATAACAATAATTCTTTCTGACTTAAGGCTGATTTTTTGAAGTATTTGCTGAAAGCTAGAAGTTGTTGCTTGTAGTGCTTTCCGTCACGACCGGCACTGTCATACCTTTATATCTTTATTCTCCTCTGTCTTGATTCTGAACATGAGAGTTTCTTTTATCAAACTTGGATTTAAAAGATTTCTTTTGAAGATCTACTGAAAGCATTAGACTCTTCAGTTGAATCAGAATTATAACAATAAATAAATGATTAATTGACAGAAGACGAGAACAGCTATATACAATAGAGAGGAATGTTTGCTGAACTTCAAGACGTTTTATAGGGATAGATGATACTGAGTGGACTCATTAGCTTACATACTTACAGCTGAGATTGATCGTAAGTGGAGAGGATGTTGATGATATAAGCCCATAATCTTCATAGGGAGCTGGCGTTTACGGTAGAGCCCCTGATGAGGAAAACGCCATTATGATTGATGTAGTGTACATCGTTATCTTACTAGGCTTTGGTTTTCTATTTATTCCTTTTCTATGTTAGTTTTGATTTTCCTTTCTCCAACAGGAGTTGTTAACAAGTCGTGGCCGACTTGGATCTTTGATGTCTTATATAGTATCTCCTCAGCCTTGTGAGGGATACAACTTTGATTATTTGATTTTATAAACTTAGTAGATATATGATGATTGTAGTTTTTTGGCAACATAAACAATTAAATAAAGTATAGTCAATTCTTGAAACTAAATATGCTAGATTAGAAAAAAGCAACATAATTTTAATATAACACTAAATATTGTGGATATAAGAACTAAAAAAAAAAAAGATAGACACTAATAATAACCAATATATACTGTTTCAATATCAAAATTTTAATTTTATATTATCATTTTATCAGAATCAATCATTCAATTTTAACTATCCCATAAAACGCATAAAAGTAAAAAAGAAATAGCACCTTCACATTTTAAAGTATTTAGGTCAGATAAATGTCAAAATTTTAAATTAATAGAAACTGAAAAAAAAATATCTGTTAGAGGATAAAAACTTATCAACAGATTTACACTGCCAAGTTTATCGATCACAGGAACGTACAATCACATAAAGAATGACGTATCCAGGTATGCTAGGTATGTATCCTTATTATATTAAAAAGATGTATAGGTATCAACTTAATTTCGAGTAAAATAACTTAATCTTTATCAATTTCAGACAATTTCTTTCATTCAGTCCACATTGCAGCTATCTATCTTTTATTCTCCGAATGATATAATTTATCTCTTATATTATTTATGATCATTTAAGCTACTCTTTTTAAAAATAGTGAACACTTAACAGTGATCTAAACCTAAATTATTTATCCACTTATCCGCGCGTAGTGCGGAAAGACACTAGTACTTATAAGGTTTGTATATATGTTTCAACTACCAAGCACTAATACTATTTTAAAAATACTTTACATCAAACTATATATAATTAAATAAGATACATAAATTACATATATTAAACGAACACAATTATTGAAACAAAAATACTAATCATGTTATATTAAAAGAAGATTTTTACTTATAGTTCGTTTTCTTTTAGGTTTTACTAAATATTTAATTTGTAGGATTTTTTACATGATTCATTTTGTTTTATATTTTTGTGAAAATTAATATTTTATTAATAATTCTCTTTGTGTAAGATTTAAAAATTGGAAATTAGGACTTTTAGAAAAGGAAATTACTTGCAAAGAGCTATTTACAATTATATTTTGTTTAGAATTTAGGAAAAAAAAATTACTATCAAATATTTTTATTGATTAGTTTATATTTATAATAAATATTTTAACACATGTCGTAGTCACATAATATTTATTGTCATGTGTCAAGATAATTTTAATTATTAACTTTCAAAACCAAATTTTATATAATAAGATATTTAGACATATATACATGTATAACTAAATAATATTATTTTGTTATATATGCAAGTGAATATATTAGAAATATGGAAAAGTTATGTTCATAGTCAGACTCCATCCTTCGAAGAATTATTCTAATTTTATGATAGAACAACATAATCGTTTCAAGATTTCAATAATTCGTCGTCTAGATAATAAGTGCAAAAAAAAAAAGGGAAATTTGCCAAATATAACTCAAAACTTGATTTGAAATGCAAAAGTAAACCCAAACTTGAATCAAATGCAAAAGTAACTTAAAAGGCTGTTGAAATTACAACCAACCCCTTGTGAACAAACAAAAAAAGAGTTTTTTTTTTACGTTTCTAGCCCTCGCAAGTCGTCTGGGACAGTTTTTCTTAAAAATAATTTAAAATTTGTGTAATAAATATTTTGATAAATGAAAAATTGGAATTATGTAATTAACATATGTCTTAAGAGATATAAATTAATATATAACAAAAGTCAGTTGTTTTCAGCATAGATGAGTGAAAGTAGTGAGTCATGATATTCTTTAGTTTAGGTTTCACCAACATATGTTGTAGTA